TACAATCATAGCTCACACTCACTTATTTAGGAATGACAAAAAACAAACTGAAGTAAGAAGCACAAAAAAAAAAAAAAAACGATTGGCTACACAGGTAGTGGTTTGATCATGGCTGAATGTGGCCTACATTGACACCAAACGATACGCCTGGCCAAGTTCGCCATCCATTTTCTGATTTGTGCTTTTTGATGCTAATGTTGTGAGGGTCATTGGCCTGCTGGAAGCACCCAGGATCGTTGGACGCAAACCCTAGCTTTATGCCACACTGCGCCCTGACCCGGGGCCTTGAACTCTGGGACTAACACTGTCATGACTACTCTCTGGGGGCTGCGATTTCATGATGCCCATGCACACAGTCAAGGCACCCCATGCCAGAGGCAAGCAAAACAACCCCAAAACATCTATTGAACCTCACCATATTTTACCCCCCAGGTACTGTGTTTTGTTCTTTGTAGGCCTCACCAAGCCGTTTTTCGGTAAACAGTACCCCCCAGCTTTACCCCAACCAAGCCACAATCTTGTCTCACTGGCCCCCACCACCCAAGAGTAAACCCTTAACTCAAGACATTTTGGCAGTCTTGCTTTTTTTATGTCTCTGTGTCAAGTGGGGTCCTCCTGGGTCTCCTGCCCATAGCGTTTCATTTCATTTAAATGTCGACGGGCTGACACTGATGCTGAGCCTATAGGACATTATGTCACCGTTGAACATGTTGGGGCTCTTACCACCATCCGATTATCTTTGGTCCTCATCTGTCCACAAGTAAAGGGGACGTTTTTCCCCCCAGAAGGCATTTTTTAGTACATCTTGAGTTATGTTGGATTACCCCTCAAGAACATTTTGGCAAACTGTAGTCAATTTTGTGCTTTTTTTTTATGTCCTCTGTGGTCAGCAGTGGGGTCCTTTCCTGGGTTCTCCTTTTGCCCCATAATGAGCGTTTCATTTCATTTAAATGTCGAAGGATAGTTCGCGCTGACACTGATGATGCTCCCTGAGCTGCAGGACAGCTTGAAAATGTCTTTGGAACATGTTTGGGGCTTCTTATGTATGCTTTATCCACCATCCGGACTATTAATCGTTGCAATCTTTCATCAATTTTTCCTCATCCGTCCACGACCAGGGAGATTAGCTACAGTGCCATGGGTTGCAAACTTCTTGATAATGTTTGCGCACTGTGGACAAAGGCAAATCTAGTTCTCTGGAGATGGACTTGTAACCTTGAGATTGTTGATATTTTGCCACAATTATGGTTCTCAGGTCCTCAGCGCACAGTTTCTCGTCTCCTCTTTCTGTTGTCCATGCTTAGTGTGGCACAGACAGACACACAATGCAAAGGTTAAGTGAACGTCTCTCCTTTTTATCTGCTTTCAGGTGTGATTTCTATATTGCCCACAACCTGTTACTTGCCCCCCCAGGTGAGTTTACAGGAGCATCACATCTTGTAACATTCTTATTTATCCGCAGTTGTGAAAGGGTTGGCCAATACTTTTGTCCAGCCCATTTTTGGAGGTTTGTGTGACATATGTCGAATTTTGCTTTCTTTCCCTCCCCCTTTTTTGTTTTGTCCCAATACACACAAAGGGAATAAACATGTGTAAAGCAAAACAGTGTTAATGCATATACGTTTCGTGAGAAATACATGATTTCCTGGAGAAATATCAAGGGTGCCACAACAATTTCGGGCGGCCATGACTGTATGACTTGAACCTTCACAGAGAGATGGAGATGATAAAAGCTTGTGTATGATACCTGCCTGCGGATAAAGTAAATGGGGGTTTATTTACTAAAATTGCATGGTACACGGAAATCTGGACATGCTGTGTCTAACAAGAAACCAATCAAGCCTTCCAGTTTTATGTCATGCTTAAATGAACAAAACTGAAGTAAGAAGGCAGATTGCGCTACTAGTGGTTGGCTGAATGTCACATTGACACAAACGATACGGTGCTGTTCGGCTGGGCTGTTCCCCTCCGCGCCCCTGCAAGGGCTACAAGGCTGCGCGCGGTTGGACATGAGTTCACTGTGTGATTGGTGGCAATGCTTTGGCCAATCACAGCACACGAGCAGATGTCACAAGGGGCAGGGGGCCAATCAGCAGTTAAGGACGAATGAATGTCACAAGGGGCAGGGCGGGGGCAGATGTGATCATGAATAGTACACAAGGTTAAGGCGACAATTCATACAACGAATGATGTCACAAAGGGCCAGGGCGACAGTATTTTAGAACAATGATGTCACACGAGGGTGGGGGGAACAGGGGTTTTAGGAACAGAATGACCAATGGCGACGAATGATGTGATATGTCACAGGGGGGCAGGGACAGGAAAGAGGTGGCACAAAGGGCCAGGGCGTACAGTCATGTCACAGAAGGGGTGCAAGGGGGACCGGTGGATGTGTAATTTAAGAACAGAATGATGTCACAAGGGGAGGACAGGCAACAGTAATATTTTAGGTGAACAGAATGATGTCAAGTTCTTAGGGGCATGCAGGGGCTTACAGTATTTAAGAACAGAGTTTGATGATAGGATCTGGGGGCAGGGGCGACAGTCTAATTAGTTTAGGAACAGAATGATGTCACAAGGGGGCAGGGCGACAGTATTTAAAACAGAATGATGTCACAAGGGGGCAGGGACGACAGTTCAGGAAACAGAATGATGTCATCAAGAGGAGTCTCGAGTGACAGTAGTTACGGGAAATCAGGATCACAAGGGGCGGGGGTGGGGAAAGAGGCAGGAGGGATTTAGGAACAGAATGATGTCACAACTAGGGGGCCGGGTGAGAATTTAATAGAAATGATGTCACAAGGGGGGGCAGGGCGTGACAGAATTTAGAAACAGAATGATGTCACAAGGGGGCAGGGTGACAGTATTTAAGAACAGAATGATGTCACAAGGGGGCAGGGCGACAGTATTTAAGAACAGAATGATGTCACAAGGGGCAGGGCGACAGTCTTTAGGAACAGAAATGATGTCACAAGGGGCAGGGCGACAGTATTTAGGAACAGAATGATGTCACAAGGGGGCCGGGTGACAGTATTTAAGAACAGAATGATGTCACAAGGGGCAGGGCAACAGAATTTAGAAACAGAATGATGTCACAAGGGGCAGGGTGACAGTCAATTTAAGAACAGAATGATGTCACAAGGGGGCAGGGCGACAGTATTTAGGAACAGAATGATGTCACAAGGGGGCAGGGCGACAGTATTTAGGAACAGAATGATGTCACAAGGGGGCAGGGCGACAGTATTTAGGAACAGAATGATGTCACAAGGGGGCAGGGCGACAGTATTTAAGAACAGAATGATGTCACAAGGGGGCTGTTAGGAATGGACTGGCCAGCAATGTGGGACTCACCTGCCTTTTGATCTGCAGTACCAGGCTGGCCAGCGGGTGCTCCCAGCAATCAGAGACTCAACCTTTCAGCCAGCTAACACCCTGGAACTGATGATGCACTGGGGGTATTTAAGGGATGGCCAGACCCACAGACTCTGCCTTGGTGTTGTGTTTGTCCTGGGCCCTGTATCTGTCCTGCATCCTGTTTCTGTCCCTCTGCCTGACCCTCTGTACTACGCTGCTTGTTACCTGTTTTGATCTCTGGCTTGTGACCCTGACCATCCCTCTGCCTGACCCTCTGTACTACGCTGCTTGCTACCTGCTGAACCTGGCCTGTGACCCCGACCATTCTCTGCTTGCTCCCCCTGTACCTACCTGCCCAATTGATATTGACCCGGCCTGCCTGACGACGCTTGCTTGTATGTACTGTTATCTGTGGGTGGTTTGGTTTGGTTTGTTTGCACTGTATTATGTTTAGTATTGCACTGCGTTTATGTTTGTATGGTTAGTGTTAATAAATTATATTGTTTATCACATATCTGAAGTCTGCGTTTCCCTGCATCAGTCACACACCTCTGGTCATACCTGGGAGCCCTGACATTACCTGGGAGCCCTGACATTACACCAAGGCCAATCCTGACCAGAAGTGGCTGCACAGGGAAGCCATCTTGGCTTGTTGATGGGAAGGATGGATCTTGATGAGGTTGAATATTTATATCTGCTAGTGTTTGATGACAGGGAGTTTCCTTTTCAGACTCTGAAGGAGTATACCCGGGATGAACTGCTAGAATGTATACGGCTCGCTCATGTTCTAGTAGATCAGGGCACAGAGTTCTCTGAGGTGCAGCCTTTGATTGAGTGTTTGTGCAGAGTTGGTTTCATCTGGTTCCCCCGAATGCAGGGATGAATTTTTGCCACCATTTAGTGCAGACCAGGTAGAGTCCCTGGTGTGGATTATTAGAGGATGATGTGGGTTACTTTCTGGAGCGTTATTCCACATGTTTCACCACAGACACTAAGAGATTGTATAAACGCAGTGCAGTCATTGACCAGACAGGCTTTGTGTAAGCTGAGAGCTTTGTTCAACCCATACTGCAGACATGGACAGATTTGTTGCACCCAGCCTCAGTCAGCTTACAAAGACCCAGTCCTGCTTCTAATCTATTTCCTCAAAAACTCTATTCCTGCATTCCCAACAGCTCCTCCTGCCCTGCTATCTACCGCATGTCAGTACCCTGTTCCCACTCGCTGCACCTAATCCTGCCTTTAACCCTGTAAAAAAGCCCTCTGTAGCAACTGCTCCCTCTCTCTGTTCCATCCTCCAGTTCTTCTCTGTCTCCCAGCTGCTCCATTCGTTTGCAGACCTGCGTTTACTTGCAGTGCTCCAGTAGTTAAAACCAGAAAAAAGCGAAAATTCTTTCCAACCAATACCATCCTGCCAGTATCCAAACCGGTGAGCCTGCCTTCCGTGGTTCAGCCTGAAGCCTCTACTCGGCCTGAAGCCTCTACTACGCCAGTCCTGAAGCTCTACTCGGCCTGATGCCTCTACTCGGCCTGAAGCCTCTACTCGGCCTGAAGCCTCTACTCAGCATGATGAACTGATCCAGCCTGACGATCCTATTAGGCCAGTTGACTCGATGCCCGCTGTTGATCCAGATGATCCGGTACCTGATCCGGTGCCCGCTGTCGAGCCAAATGACCTGATGCCTGGTGACCCATGCCCCGCTGTCGAGCCAGACAATCCGGTACCTGATGACCCGATGCTCACTGTCGTGCCTGTTGACTCGGAGCCCACTGCCTTGCCAGATGACGCGGTGCCCGCTGTCAAGCCAAATGACCTGATGCCCTGGTGACCCATGCCCGCTGTCCAGCCAGACGATCCAATGTCTGACCCAGTGCCCACGGTCATAACCAGTCACTCGGAGCCCACTGCCTTGCCAGATGACGCGGTGCCCGCTGTCGAAGAGCCAAATGACCTGATGCCTGGTGACCCGATGCCCGCTGTCCAGCCAGACGATCCAATGTCTGACCCAGTGCCAGCGGTCATCCCAGTTGACTCGGAGCCCACGGTTGTGCCTGGTGACTCGGTGCCCTGCCGCCCCCCTGGGGGCCTGAGACCTGTCGTTCCGCCTGGGGGTCCGGCGCCCGCCACTCCGCCTGAGGGTCCGAGACCTGTCGCTCCGCCTGGGGGTCCGGCGCCCGCCGCTCCGCTTGAGGGCCCGAGACCTGTCGCTCCTCCTGGGGGTCCGGCGCCCGCCGCTCCCGCCTGAGGGCCCGAGACCTGTCGCTCCGCCTGGGGGTCCGGCGCCCGCCGCGCTCCGCCTGAGGGCCCGAGACCTGTCGCTCCACCTGGGGGTCCGGCGCCCGCCGCTCCGCCTGAGGGGCCTGAGACCTGTCGCTCCATCCTGGGGGTCCGGCGCCCGCCGCTCCGCCTGAGGGCCCGAGACCTGTCGCTCCCCGCCTGGGGGATCCGGCGCCCCCGCCGCTCCGCCTGAGGGCCCGAGACCTGTCGCCCCGCCTGGGGGCCCGATGCCTGCCGCCCCGCCTGAGGGCCCGATGAACCTGTCCGCTCCCGCCTGGGGGCCCGGCGCCCGTCGCTCCGCCTGGGGGCCCGATGACCTGTCGCCCCGCCTGGGGGTCCCGGCGCCCTGTCGCCGCTCCGCTGGGGCCCGATGCCTGTCGCCCCGCCTGGGGGCCCGATGCATGTCGCCCCGCCCGGAGGGCCCGATTGCCTGCTGCTCCGCCCGGGGGGGCCCGGTGCCTGCTGCCCCCCCAGGGGCCCGATGCCTGTCGCCCCGCCTGGGGCGGCCCGTGCCTGTCGCCCGCCCGGGGGCCCGATGCCTGTCGCCCCGCCTGGGGCCCGATGCCTGTCGCCCCGCCTGGGGGGGGCCGATGCCTGTCCGCCCCCGCCCGGGGCCCGATGCCTGTCGCCCCGCCCGGGGGCCCGGTGCCTGTCGCCCCCCCGCGGGGGCCCGGTGCCTGTCGCCCCGCCCGGGGGCCGGGTGCCTGCTGCCCCGCCCGGGGGCCCGGTCGCCCTGCCCGGGGGCCCGGTGCCTGCTGCTCCGCCCGGGGGCCCGGTGCCTGCTGCCTCCCACGCCCGGGGGCCCGGTGCCTGCTGCTCCCGCCCGGGGCCCCGGTGCCTGCTGCCCCGCCCGGGGGCCCGGTGCCTGCTGCTCCGCCCGGGGGCCCGGTGCCTGCTGCTCCGCCCGGTGGCCCCGCTGCCTGCTGCTTCGCCTGGTAAACCGATGTGCCTCTGCCCCTGAGTCCTGCCCGATGTGCCTCTGCCCGGAGTCCTGCCCGATGTGCCTCTGCCCGGAGTCCTGCCCGATGTGCCTGCCCGATGTGCCTCGCCCGGAGTCCTGCCCGATGTGCCTCTGCCGATGTGCCTCTGCCCGAAGTGCCTCTGCCCGATGTGCCTCTGCCCGGTGTGCCTCTGCCGGAGTCCTGCCCGATGTGCCTCTGCCCGATGTGCCTCTGCCTGGAGTCCTGCCCGATGTGCCTCTGCCTGATGTGCCTCTGCCCGGTGTGCCTCTGCCCGGTGTGTGCTCTGCTCGATGTGCCTCTGCCCGGAGTCCAGCCCGGTGTGCCTCTGCCCGGAGTCCAGCCCGGTGTGCCGCTGCCCGGAGTCCTGCCCGGTGTGCCAGTCTTTGATATCCCGCCAGTTACCAGACCCGGGCGGTGGAACATTTTGCCCAGCTAGGACTGTTTGGAGCGTCCTGAGGCCGCTCCTTGGGGGGGGGGGGGGGTACTGTTAGGAATGGACTGGCCAGCAATGGTGGGACTCACCTGCCTTTTGATCTGCAGTACCAGGGCTGGCCAGCGGGTGCTCCCAGCAATCAGAGACTCAACCTTTCAGCCAGCTAACACCTGGAACTGATGATGCTGGGGTATTTAAGGGATGGCCAGACCCACAGACTCTGCCTTGGTGTTGTGTTTTTGTCCTGGGCCCTGTATCTGTCCTGCATCCTGTTTCTGTCCCTCTGCCTGACCCTCTGTACTACGCTGCTTGTTACCTGTTTTGATCTCTGGCTTGTGACCCTGACCATCCCCCTCCGCCTTACCCTCTGTACTATGCTGCTTGCTACCTGCTGAACCTGGCCTGTGACCCCGACCATTCTCTGCTTGCTCCCCCTGTACCTACCTGCCCAATTGATATTGACCCGGCCTGCCTGACGACTACGCTTGCGTTGTATGTACTGTTATCTGTGGGTGGTTTGGTTTGGTTTGTTTGCACTGTGTTATGTTTAGTATTGCACTGCGTTTATGTTTGTATGGTTAGTGTTAATAAATTGTATTGTTTATCACATATCTGAAGTCTGCGTTTCCCTGCATCAGTCACACACCTCTGGTCATACCTGGGAGCCCTGACAGGGGCAGGGCGACAGTATTTAAGAACAGAATGATGTCACAAGGGGGCAGGGCGACAGTATTTAGGAACAGAATGATGTCACAAGGGGCAGGGCGACAGTATTTAGGAACAGAATGATGTCACAAGGGGGCAGGGCGACAGTATTTAAGAACAGAATGATGTCACAAGGGGGCAGGGCGACAGTATTTAAGAACAGAATGATGTCACAAGGGGGCAGGGCGACAGAATTTAGGAACAGAATGATGTCACAAGGGGGCAGGGCGACAGTATTTAAGAACAGAATGATGTCACAAGGGGGCAGGGCGACAGTATTTAAGAACAGAATGATGTCACAAGGGGGCAGGGCGACAGTATTTAAGAACAGAATGATGTCACAAGGGGGCAGGGCGACAGTATTTAGGAACAGAATGATGTCACAAGGGGGCAGGGCGACAGTATTTAAAGAACAGAATGATGTCACAAGGGGGCAGGGCGATAGTATTTAAGTACAGAATGATGTCACAAGGGGGCAGGGCGACAGTATTTAAGTACAGAATGATGTCACAAGGGGGCAGGGCGACAGTATTTAAGTACAGAATGATGTCACAAGGGGGCAGGGGCGACAGTATTTAGGAACAGAATGATGTCACAAGGGGGCAGGGCGACAGTATTTAGGAACAGAATGATGTCACAAGGGGGCAGGGCGACAGTATTTAGGAACAGAATGATGTCACAAGGGGGCAGGGCGACAGTATTTTAAGAACAGAATGATGTCACAAGGGGGCAGGGCGACAGTATTTAGGAACAGAATGATGTCACAAGGGGGCAGGCGACAGTATTTAAGAACAGAATGATGTCACAAGGGGGCAGGGCGACAGTATTTAGGAACAGAATGATGTCACAAGGGGGCAGGGCGACAGTATTAGGAACAGAATGATGTCACAAGGGGGGCAGGGCGACAGTATTTAAGAACAGAATGATGTCACAAGGGGGCAGGGCGACAGTATTTAAGAACAGAATGATGTCACAAGGGGGCAGGGCGACAGTATTTAGGAACAGAATGATGTCACAAGGGGGCAGGGCGACAGTATTTAAGAACAGAATGATGTCACAAGGGGGTAGGGCGACAGTATTTAAGAAACAGAATGATGTCACAAGGGGGTAGGGCGACAGTATTTAAGAACAGAATGATGTCACAAGGGGGCAGGGTGACAGTATTTAAGAACTGTGGTGCAGCTGTCAGACGGTGGGAGCGAGCATCATGAGTGAATTGGGCTTTTTTTCTTTTTTTAGGTAGTGGCGGCGACAGGCATCGTCATTGATGTTGAATCTACTTTGGGGGACATTTTATTTCATTTTTATTTTTAATAAAGGACTTGTCAAAGACCGTCTCCTGTCTTTTTTACACTACACTTTTTTCTGTGAATGGGTACCAATACCATACCAGAAAAATGACCAAGTGCAATGTGTATACATACAAGTGGATGAGCCATAGCTGTCCATTTTTCTTCTCCAAAACAGTGACTCCTCCCCTCTTTCCTCCACCAGGGCAGTGACCCCTCCCCCTTAAGAACAGGGACTCCTCCCCCAGCAGAAAAATTACCACTATTGATGTTGAATCTACTTTGGGGGACTTTTTTTTTTCTTTTTTATTTTTAATAAAGGACTTGTCAAAGACCGTCTCATGTGTTTTTTACACAACACTTTGTTCTGTGGATGGGTACCAATACCATGTACCACATATTCATTCACATGGGGGGGGGATCTGTGGGCCCCTTGTTAAAGGGGGCTTCCAGATTCCGATAAGCACCTCGCCCGCAGACCCCAACAACTACAGCCCAGGGTTTGTGGGGAAGAGGCCTCCCCAAATTGTTTGGGTGGGGGCCCCGCCTCAAAGCACTCCCCCCATGTTGAGGGTATGTGGCCTGGTATGGTTCAGGAGGGGGGGCGCTCGCTCGTCCCCCCTTTCCTGACCTTCCAGGCTGCATGCTCAGATAAGGGTATGGTATGGATTTTGTGGAGACCCCCTACGCCAATTTTTTTCTAATTTCGGCATGGGGGTTCCCTTCAAAATCCATACCAGACCCGAAGGGCTTTGTATGGATGGGAGGGATGACCCCACATCGTTTTTTAAAAACATTTTTTAATAGTCGGGCAATCCCGACAATTCTTTTTCCATTCAGCTGTCAGCGGGGAACCCCACTGACAGCTGAAACATGAATGAATGTCTCACTACTATAATACCGCGTGACTTCATCATAGAACTCATCATCAGCATCTTCTGATTTTACGCATCAAATGACCATTTTGCATTGCTTTGACCAATCACAATGGACCGTCTGGCGTTCATCATGTCCCCCCCCCCCCCCCCCTCCCCATCTCATTCTCGACCTTCTTGTTTGCCTGTCGCCTCCACAACTGTTTAGACTGTCAGTTTGTGTGTCAGAGGTTCTTCCTCCACACGGGGTTAATCAGGGAACGCCGCAAAAGTGAGCGCACAACAGAGAACCGACCTTATTTTCCTCGTATCACCTATATCACCTTTCTGTCACTGTTGCCTGGCAACTTGCAATGTGGCTGCCTCGTCGCAGCACCAAATTACCAGGTGTCAACATAAACACGCAGACATCTGACCCTGGGGAGGGGGGGGGGTGCAGAACGCCGTCGCTGATCGCTGCCTGCTGAACACAGCCATTTCCAACATATTTCTACCCCCATTCTCCGAACGACAACGCCAATCCTACCTGAGAGCTCCGCCAGCAGTATTGGAATGTCGGTGGTTCAGGAAAGAAAATGATCCTTCCTGGGGGAGAAGTAACAATTCTTCACGAAATATCTCCCCATCCATCGATTCCTCCGGATTTATGTCATAGGAGGAAAGTGCACAAGGGCTCACAGGAAAGGGGAC